GTTCTTTAGTTTTCCACATGTTCACAGAAGCTAGCAAAGCAAAAAAGCTAAGTGTATGGATTTCATCTTAACTAAATTAGCTAAAACTTGGAATTTTCCTCAACTGGGAAACTATAATTTAAAAATTGATGCACACAGTAATATAACAAGTTTTCTACCAAGTCACATCAGCACTGCATATAATATATTCTCTGTACTTTATTTTTATAAACATTAATGGACAACTGGTAATTAACAGTATCTGATGCATTATTTTAGACAGAAATAACTCCTTACATTCTTGACATGAAAAAATTTTATGTAAAAACATATGAAACAAGAGAAAAAAGACAACAATACTGGAAGGGCACCAGTTCTATTTCCAAAGGTCTTTGGGTATTAATTACAAACACAGCTTTTGAAAATTCCACTTAAAGCTAGGAGATGTTTCAAATGGTGTAAACTGACCAATTGCTGATTTTCTATTTTCATGTATTTTGTATTGGATGACATTTAATGGAATTGTGTGATACAAAAATGGAAAATGCTTTAATATTTATCTTTAAAACAGAATTTTGATTTTATTTCAAAAGGAAGCATCACTGAAAAAGTTTTACAGACTGTTCAGATGAAATATTGTACTACAGAACTTACTCTCTAAATAAGTAGTAGTCTAAGCAAGTTCAAACACATCTTATTAATCCCACACCAACAAATGTAAATAGAGTTTTTAGGTCTGGACATTTATCCCTCTGGGCTGCACTGTAACAGTTATCCAAGACCAGACCAGAAGACATATTGTTGCAACAATGTGAAAGCAGTCATTTGGGTGACAAGCTATTTCTCCAACATAATAAAAGCATCCATCCTTTCACACATTGGTTCTTGAAAAACTTGAATTCTTTCTGGAACCATTAAGAGTTATGGAGAGCCAAATGAATCAATTCATTAAGTTTTGAGTACAACGTTGTCTGCTCATGCAGCAGTGATTATCGAGAACTGCATGAGCACTGGCATACGCCAGTTTCAGAAAACTCCAAAAAATATCTTCCAAGATAATATGGCAACAATTCAGTGTAATAAAAAATAACTTTCCAAAACAACTGATTCCCTTCATTACACTCACTTATCCTTCTACCTTAAATTATTTTTTTTTTAAATTATGAAACAAATTTAACAGGAAATAAGTTTAACCAAAGTTAATGGCATTAACTAAAACAAATTATATGATTTTTTGAGTTGTTCTGTCAGAAGATGTTGACAATGTAACTTCTCATACACAAAAAAATGTTGCCATCTTGTATTTACTAGATAGGAAATGTACACAAAGGTCTAAACAGTGTTGATATCCACCTTCTATTTTAAAACTACTTTTCATCTTAAAAATTTCCCATTCTGAATGGATGCCTCACAGACTTCATATGAACATGCACCTGTGTGTGTGAATATTTATTTGTAAAAGTTTCAGACAATTACTGTATTTCTGAGAGTAAGGATATTATAGACCTTGCTCCTCAAGTTAGACTTTTCTTTAGCAGGGGCTCAATGAGAACTTGTAGTGCTTCCAGGCTGTGGACCAGGAATGTCCAATTTGGAAGAAAGTTTGTTTGGTATCAGGGAAATGTCTTACACACATCCTGTGAAATCCCACTCAAATCCAAGGAAGTTATAAGCCTCATTAAAACGCAGTCTGAACTCACTGCACAGATAGTGGACTATCAGTATAGTATTGTCTGCTCCCAAAAGCATGCGGAGGCTGAATGCAGGTTATCCCCTTGAGATGCACAGGGCATGTTCCCCCATCGGCTGCTGAGCTTGTTCACTTCATGTGCAGGTGCAGTGAGATAGCTGCCAACAGGCAGCAGGGACCCTGTCTCTCTCATGTCTCTAGTTTTAACAATTTAAGACCAGAAGAGACTGTGAGATACTCCAATTTCCTGAGTTTTAGAGACAGCTAATCCTAAGAACTAGTACTTAGCTCAAACACAAATGCCTCCTTCCCAAAATGACATCCAGTTTTGACCCAAAACACAGTACCAGGAGGCTCTGCCACTTCCTTCACTGTTTCAAATGGGTGAATGGGTGGGGTTTTTTTCTTTTTTTTCTTATTTTTTAAAATCTGAATCTCTCTGTAGTCTCTGGTTTTCATTATGCTGCCTTCTGCTAGATTTAGGAGCCCATTAACACCTGTATTTTTCTTCCCCCATGAAAATAGCTGTACATTATAAAATCATCTTCCAGCCCTCTTTTTGATAAGCCAAACAAACTGAACTGTAAATCTGTCACAGATAATTTGAACTGAATAATTTGTGCCCTCAGATGAGTATTCACTCTATACTATTTGATTGTGTCTTGACAGTGACACAGGACATACTTTTACTATCATCTTCCTCAAAAAGTCCTTTTGTACCAGTGTCTTTAATATTGCATACTGTCCTCCACCTCTTTTAGCCACTGTGTCCTTAAGGAAGCTGTAAGCACTGATTTCACATTCTTATTTTATGAATTGCCCCACCAGGTTTCAATAATATCAATTATATCTCATTTTTCCTCTTTAATGAGAATTTTCCACTTACGGTGCTTGTTACCAGTCTTATCCCTGATATAAAACCAACTGCAAATCTTGTTTTCAATTCTGTTGTAAGTTTAATTGGTTCCTACGACACCAACTTTAAATTACATTTATCTACCTAGGACGCTTTGCTTGGGTTGTCAGTTCAGCCCCTTTCTGGTTGCTACAGGCTCCAGCTACGTCCGGTGTCCCTTCACACAATCTTCCTATGGGACTTGGTCCCCATGTTCTGCACAAAGAAACCTGCAGATTCACTCCAGCCAAATACAACAAATTCCCCTCCAGTATTTTCTTCTGTGCATCTTCCTTTTCATTGTATCCTTCTCAGCCTTGTAGTTTTGTTTTTCTTAATAGTTGCACTCATGATGCCTGTCAACTTATCTACCATTTCGTACCACAAGCAGTACCAAATACCTTGTAGCTATGTCTCCTACAGCTTTCTGCATTATCCTTCCACAAATAGTTCCCTCTATTAGCCAGCACACTTGAATACATATTAATAACTTTATACTTCCTGTCATGTTGTATGTCTCCTGACTTTGGGGTTGGATTTTTTTGGCTATGAGCCACCAGTGTACTCTTCTGGATCCTACCTATTTTTCCTTTTCTTCAGTGGCATCAGTAGGAATTACTTCTCATTCTGACTGTTAAAAAAAACATACTGCATGTATAATCTTTTCCATCAAAGAGTTAAAAGAATTAATGAAAAAAAAGGAACGTGGTTTCATGGTTTGACAACTGAATTTTTCTTTTGCCTTTTATCAGATTTTAAAGGCAACAGGGCAGGCAAGGTCTTAAATGCAGCTTATACCAATGGGAAGTTTTTACTATTGATATGAAGCCCTATAAAAGTTTACATTCATGAAAAAAAATATTAGAGGCAACTCAGGCCATTCATACAAATTTTGGACAATTCTTGAGTTCATGACTATGCTTCTCTACCTTACCAATACACTAATGTAATACTCATGAAGGTACATCAGTGATCCAAAGAGAAAAACCACAGCAAAAGAAATAATTGTACATAACAATTAAAGGCAGAAACAAATGGAGGCATATGAAAAGAAAATAAGCGATGACCAAGGAAGATGTTAAAAAAACCCATATATTGTCTCCTGTGTTGTTTTAGTTTTCAGCATGCAATTATTCCATTAGAGACTATCATAGCACATCTGTAGAAGGTATCTGAATTGAGACAGCATAACTTCCCGAGTCCTGGGTGATCAACATAAGAACATCACTGTTAAATGCTATTTAACATTTCATAAGGATTCTCTTTATTTGTTCTAAGAACAAACCAAGCACCTCAGCTCCATTACACCAAGATTATCTGAACCCCACATAATTCTTCAACAGAATCAGAACCTTCAGACCCAAAGTCGTGGGCACTGCCACGTGAGCTACCACAGCACTTCTCCTTAGAAGCAATGTATCATCCCATTTAAGTACATAAGGCATTTACTGGACTAAAGAACTTCACAAGTGTTCACTGACAGCATAGTTTCCTGATATGTGAAGAGGCACAGTGAAGAAAGTCCCAAAACTTTTAAGGAAAAGAAAGCTGTTCTACCCATGACATACCTCCATTCTCACAAAGGGCTAACTGGTTTTGTCTGAAACTAAAACCCAACAAAGCCTAAAACCTGCGGTCTGAAACACAACCAGTGAAATTTCTGTCCAAATAGTTACCAAGTTGGTAGCTACAAAGAAGTAAAAACATAATGTTATAACCAAAGGACTGTTCAGCATCCTGAATCAAAGGTGCTATCAGCCCAGTTCAGAGTTGTGATCATTTAACAATAACTTCAGGTGTCAGCAGAGAGGTAACTGAAGTACAATGCAACTTCTGGGGGACTGTCTTCAAACCCAGTGGAGGTCATATACAGAGAGACCTTTTCAGGAGTCACAGCCCACATGTTTAGCAGAGAATTTGGCAGTATTTAGCAAAATTTGGCAAATTTTGAGAAAGTCTGGGACTAAACAGCCCTTGTACAGTTAGTCACAACTAAGACATGCAACAGCAGCTTTACTGTAGTGGTGCCAGGATTATTACTCCTTTGCTTGAGGATCAACTTAAACTCCAAGTTTTAAAAACAGTATTTGAATACTATTTACACATTGATACGTTGTGACTACTAATGTTCCAGTAATTATGTTAGCCCAGGCACATACTGTATTGGTATTTTTTGAAGACAAACTGTGATATACTTAAGGGTGAATTTACCGTATCATTAAAAAGAAAATTATTATTGTTCTTTTGGGGAGTTCTTTTCCCTTTTTTTTCCTGTTAAATTCAAAGTCTTTCTGCCAAGTTGAAAAAAGCCCTTTTAATTTAGTATGACTTGGGAATATAGCGAGGTTTTGTGTTTGGGGTTTGTTTTGTTTGTTTGCTTTTTTAAACTGTGAAAAGTCTGAGTGTTAACTGATCTAGATTTGACTGGGTACTCACTCTGTCGCACAGCTCTTCAAATGTGAAGTCTGCAATGGTTCCACACGCTTTATTCAGCCTCAGCTCTCTGCCTTGCACTTTTAGAATCCTTGGTCTAGTTACTATGGGAACATGAACAAAGACTCAATCTTCTCTGGATAATTACTATAAAATTCATCTCTTACAGATAGGAAATGCATAGCTTGATGAATAATAGCACATGATTCAACACATAAATTAGACAAAATGCTGATACAATGACTGCCACTTGAGTGTGGCATCAACCCATATACAGCAATGGAACTTATTAATTGGTCAGTGGAGATTGGGCATTGTGTTCTAAATGTATTCTCTTTCAAGAGAAATTAACTTACGTACAATCATTTTGTTTCTGAGCCAGCTCATCAAACAACTTATCCATGACAGCCTCCACATCAGCTTCACTTGTGCTACAGTGAAAAGAATAATAGAATATGAAATTAATAACACTTGAAGCCAACATCAAACAGCTGCCTGAGCCTGCTTAGCTTTTTGCCCATAAAAAAGAGAACAGGATGTTATGCTCTAAATACAAACATTGGATTTAGAATACACTTAAAAGTAGAGAATATTAACTCTCAGGTAGATGATTCTGCCTTATTTGCATACACTGAAAGACTTCTGTGTTTTGAGCCGTTTCCAGTAATGAGGCAATACAGGCAGAGCAGATCCATTAACACTGTGTACACAATGAGAAAAAAAGGCTTCTGCCTCTATCTTGCATGCAAAATAAGAGCAAATAGACAAGGCAAGGCAGTCAAGCACCTAAAGAAGTATCCTTTGAAATTTCTGAGAGGGGACTTTGTGAAATTAAATATTGGAGCAACTATGGGGGGAAGGGGATCAAGCCAACTGATTGTATTGATCAGACAATTTGCAAAATTAAACTATGAAATTCACAATACCAGCATGATGTCTCCACATTAGTAATTTTATCAGTTCCTCCCCCCTCCGTCCGCAATACTATTTGGGAAAGAATCAACCACAGACAGTGAAAATGCAAAGTATCTGTGCTAAGAGCTGAAGTAAAGTTTATACTCATCTTCTGGTTGCCACAAGAATTATAAATCAGTCTGATCAGAGAATATTTTTGTCACTGAAAGGGTTAGAGGGACAGCTTTTCTGTGTTTCATTCTTAAAGAACACAGACAATATTTCTACCTTTGTTTTTTTCTCAGCTAGTTTGAAAGCTGAGAATAGTAAATTAACGCTACACTAGACACTAAATTAGAACTAGGATACAGAACACTTCATGGAAGTTTGTATAAACTCATTTGGTGCAAAAAGTCTACTTTTATAGATCGCAAATACATTCAAGTTGCATTGCTTCACACAGTTCTAGACCTCCTCTAAATGACAAGGAATGATCAGCAGTTACACAATCACTGCCCTGTTCATTAGGCTTTAAGTACCTTAAAAACGTTCACAGCAAAACTGAAATAACTACTTTTTAGCTCAACTTAATGATTGCAGACCTTGTAGATACAAAGAATTTGGAAAATAACTCTACAAACTTCTGCAAGTGCCATTTCAAACACTTTAAAAAACCTTTTCTGAATAAGAGAGTACATAAAATTGTAACTTCAAAAAATAAGTTCCCCTTAACATTGATATTTGTGTGTTGCTTTCCTCTGGCAAAATGACAAATTAAAAGGAACTGACAAAACCAGAAAAAAGCCATAAGAGGGGAGAAGGACTGCATATATATCAGAGAGTATGCACACATGTACGCATGTAACTCTCAGAAAGTTTGATGTACAGGCTACAGGAAGAAACAGCCGAATATGATGCCAAGGTGGATATTTGCACCTAACTGCCAAGAAAGTTTGTTTTGAAAACAGACACCTGAGACTGAGATCAAGGAAATTGCTTTGATAAGGAATCCTGTAATTGTGTTACACTGATTGCTTTCAGGTTTAAGCAACTGTTGCGTATTTTAAATGAAGACTACACAAATTATGAAGCATCAAGAAGATTTAAAAAACTATATCATGATGATACTATAACCATTTACAGGGGAACATAGACATGTTGGACAAGAACATTTTATTTCAGGGGCAAGACTACTAAATGAATTTCAAAATTTGTATCAAAATACTAATGAAACAAAACAAAACAAAAACCCCCAAACCACAAAAAAAAAACCCCAAACCCCCACGTACTATGCTAGTTCTGCAGGGCTGAAATCACCAATGAACAAGTTTGAATAGAAGAAAGAAACAGATTCCCTCAGAAAAAGAAAAGACAATTAATTATCTTATTTCCATTGACAGCTACAGGATTTTTTTTTTCATTTTTCCCCCATTGCTTCCTAATAATTTACATGACAAGTTCTAGAGGTAATCAACATCCTTCCAATGAGAGAACATGAGACAGGCTTATGACGAATCCCTGCCATTCACTTGATTACAAGTTTTAGAGCAGAACACCATGAAATACTTGGAGTACTACTCCTGGGGCTTGTTCATATTTCTTCTCTGAGAGCTGATACCATAGGCACCATGTTTAGCCTATTACCTCCTAGAAACCACATACGTGCTCTTCCTTTCCTCAGAGCATGGACAGTGAGAAAAGAATATGGTAGGTGCTCTCCACAATTACCAAACAAAGTCACAGGGTGCAACGGGCACAATAAGCAGAGCTGTAAGCAGGGACAACTACACAGACATCAGACCAAAAGCCATGATGAGCAATGCTGAGATAACAATGCCGGCTTCAAATAGTACTTCTGAGCAGACACCGCAAAGCTTAGAGAAAGTGGAGTCAGGCAAGAATACAGAACAAGAGTTATGTTGCTCAAGCTCATACAGTCACACTTTGTTTGAAGATACAGAACCTGCATTTGACCTTTTTTCCATATGTAAAATTCTCTCATTTTCTTTCAGAAGCAGAAAGAGTTACCTGTTACAGTTCCGCTAAGCAGTACTCCTCCTTCCAGGCAACTACAATTCCTAACTTTATAATAAAGTGATACAAACATAATTTGCTTCAACTAAATGTCACATCAATGAAAATACTGCACCTTTCTTAATGGAAACGTTATTTTTAAATCAACATTGTATGTTGGGCTGGAAGATACAATGGTTATAAATCTCATTTTAAGTTATTGTTGTCTGCCTCGCTCAGGTTCTCATCGACTAAATAATACTATAAGAGCAAATATGAGACAGAAAAATGTCTGAAATACAAAGGTTTCAAAGTATTTCTGAAAAAAGAGAGCATGTTTCTATTGGGCTGATAGATGCTGCAACCATAAGGATAACTGTGAATGTATTTTTAAATATATTTGCAAATATAGAATACAGTGCTAAATAAATTTTGTCATGATAAACAGAAACAATCTGTCAAAATAGGAAGGCGATGGAGTTTTTTTAATCTACAGCACTGGAAATACCCAACATTAAATGAATTCTTGTCATTGGATTTCTATAAATACTTAATTACTTAAATACAAAAAGGATGTTCTTCTATTATAAGAGAATTGTGCAATCTCTTACAAGAGGATATTCATTACTTTCTAACCATCTGTCACTTCAGTTCTCCAAACACCACACCTCCCAGAAAAATCTAATTAGTTTTTATTCAGTCACACATTCTAAATGATGCTAGTGTGGATACTGAAAATGTAGTTTAATGAAGTTAATATCAAAGCATAATGGAAGGCGGTTTGCTGAACAAAATGGACCAGAAGGCAAAGAAAGGAAAAGTCACACTCTGCTAATTCTACTAAACATTTTTTCATTTCCCATTGACTAAGAGATTATTGGCTAATAAGAAGTAAAAAGTGGGCAAATACTATACCATAGATAAACTTACAGGTAGTAAAGCTTTCCAGCAGCAGGAAGCACTCGTTTCCTGTAGTCTATTCCAGAATCAAGCTGGACTGTGCTGCAGTATTTCTACAGAGAGAAAAAAAAAGAATAGCTTTCCTCAAGCCAAAGCTATATTTACTGTTGTCTGTGTTAAAGACACACTGCTGTGATAAACCAGCAGCATGAATAAGATTTGCAAAACTGAAATTCAAGATCACAAAATTGAAGTCTCCTTTACAATTATTAAAGCAAAGAAATAAACTGGAAATCATTCACATATTGAAAACAAAAAAGTAACCATTTTCAAAAGTCCATCAACTAGAAAATTAATATAGATTGGAAGCACAGGGAATGAAATGAGGGTGGATATTACTCACTCTCTCTGCGTAGTGCTTTATTGGGTGTGTAAAAATTATTTTCACATTAAAGAATATACATTTAAAAACAGAAAGTGGGGAGCAATAGAAGTTTAACAGACCACAATCAAATTCTAGCAACAGAGTCAACTGAAACTACTTCTACTTTATAAGCTAAAAATAATCTTATCTTTTCTTTCTAGTAAGATGATTAAAAATTTTATGAGTCAAACATTAAATATATGAACACCACCACGTCTTCCAAAAAACACAAAAAACAGACCAAAGCATAAAGGGACTAAACAAAGCTCTATATCAAAGAGATTTTTTTTCCTTTTTTAATGTCTAAAATGATTCAGAGAAGGATCATCTTTTTTTTTCCTCCCTTTAAACAATCTGTAAGATTCCAAGTGTGATACAGATGTCCCTGAGTAGTCACAATAATTACTTCTGTTAGAAATCTCAAAAGCAGCCTTTTTTTTTTTTTTTTTTTTTTTAATGGCTCCCTGAACTATGCGTTTATTTGGAGGGCCTGAGGCTGAGAGCAAAATTCTCACTAACCTCAGTGGGATCAAGATTTTACATCCTCTGGCAAAGGGAATAGCTCTGCTTATCTGTCATTACTACTGCCAACATACATAACTTCTGGGTGTTATATAGCTAGAAGCAAAAGAAGCTATAAAAGAAAGGGAAGAAGAAAAGCTCTAATATTTTAGAAAATATACCTCTATCAACAATTTAATTAGAACAATAAAACTTTTTTTTTTAATCCAACACCATTAAAATTCTTTGGATTGCTAGAACCCACTAAATTGCTCTGCTTCTTCACTGCTCTATGAACTATTAGTTTATCTTTAATACTCTCATTAAATGTTTCATATTCTGTGTGTCAAATTTTTCAAAGCCTCCTTGAGGCCATTCAAATATCAAAACTGGAAATGTCAAATTTCATTTATAGCAACTACATTGCAGGGAAAAAACCTCTTAAATTTCAGAAGAACTATCATCAGTGATTTAAGGAACAATGGCCCTTTAGAACAAATGCGTTGCATAGGACTTATCACAAATATCTGCAGGAGTGACTGTGATGACTCACTGCACTGATTTGTTGCCCTTGGCTGTTACTGAAGGCTCTATACCTATTTTAAACCTCTAATAAACCTCTGTAAAGATATATAGCTGAAGAAAGAAAGTAAAAATACATTATCCTGAAAGCACAGAATCCCAGTAAAATCCATGTGTCTTTAATTCCAGTAAGTGAAAAAGCCATGCTAATCAAATCATTATCTTGGGCTAAGGCTACTGCAAACACAATAGCATTGGTGCTACAATATTATTATAATCTATTCCCTTTCTTTTCGTGAAAGCTTACAAAGAAAGGGAATAACGGAGCAGAAGAAAAAAGTTCCAGAGACATGTAATAATATGCACAAGGGAGGGAGGATGTTTAAGCTTTTCTTCCGCACCAGTCCGGCAGTCAAGACTAGAAGGAAGATTTCTGAAATTTCACAGCAGAGCTGATGTACTTAGCTTTTCTTTGCCAGGCACTGATTGATATTCAGTATCTTTCCACTTAATGTTTTATTTTTCCAAAGTAGCAGATTAGCGCAAGTATTATTTTCTTTATGTCAGTAGGGGGAAAAAAAAAAAAATCACATGACTACAGCTATGTGTACTATGAGATTATTTAGATTAACTTCAGATACTCAGATATTTAGTAACACTGTTTATAATTTGGGTTAGTTTTGTGGGTTTTTTTTGTTTTGTTTTTTTTTTTCCCCAGGCAACAACATATAGGAAAATTTGCATGAATTCAGCCTCATATCTTTGGCCTTCAAGATGGGTTTACAAACTCTCCTGCTCTCCCAGGGTGATGTGTTCCATATAGAGTGAAGAGTGAACACAAAACTACATGTACTTAAGAGTGTGGCATGGTTATGGTATGGCTGAAAGAAAAAAAAGTGCACCCACTGTAGCTGCTGTAAATTTATAGTGCTGATACTTAAAGCAGTGCATGTGGCTCAGCTGCTAATGATTGCTGGGTAGGGCAGACGTTCCATGTACTCAAATACAGACTGATACTGGGCTAGATTATGCAGGTTACCAGACTTGCTGAGATATAAATCAGCACTTGGTACAACAGTATCTTTTGTTCTGCTTACAAACGTACCACTCCTTACATGCACTGACAGTCTTTTATGATGCCATTGATTTAATCTTACAGTGAAGGAGTTTTGGAGGTAAGAATCGTAGATGTAAATACTACTGATATAGCTATGAAGTAGATGTGTTTCTTCTGTCTTACTTCCCTTTTCTCTTTCTTCAAAGTAATTAGTATTATCACTATTCAGGAAAAATTGCTATCACTAGTGACACTAGTTAAGAAGAGCTTGTGCGCTCAAAAGCTTATTTATGCTTTTGGGCCCTTTTTAAGCTACAAACAGTTGCCTAAATGAAAGATATTTCTTTTTCCTATAAACCTTGTCTTGTATGCCTACAATAATGTACTACTATTGATTCTAATGTGATATAAGATTACATAGTTTATTTTTTAAATAACTGTTATATCTTCAGGGCTAGGGGACCTTTCAGCCAGAAAAGCAACAGCAGCATTCCATTCAGAGATATATAAAATACAGTTACTAAGGAAGCAAATAGTCAGTAGGACTATAGGATGTGGAAGTCAACTGAACCAAACGTAAACAAAGTGGAAAACCAGAATTCTGATATATAGCAGTTTTCTGTAATACACAATATAAGCACAGAAGTAAGGGCCAGTTAACAGGAAAAGAGAGATACTTAGTCCTTTGGAAAACATTTGGCATTTTACTATCCTGCTCCTTGGGTGTTCCAAATTAATTTCTGGTTTTGGTTTGGGTTTGTTTGGGGATTTTTTTTTCTTAATTCTGTCCTATCTTTCAAATACAGTTATGTCTCCTGTCTTTCAAACCAGTATTCTCAGTTAAATTCTGGTTTGTATTTTACTTTGAATCTCTAGCATATTTTCCATCCATTACTGTCTTAAGAACCACTGACTTGGACTTTGAAGCCAGTTTCTTCTCCCTGTTTTTTATTTTTGTCCTCTCCAGCCTAATGTTAAGTTCAGGAAGGTACTCCGGACATTTAGAGTCCATGTTCTAAAAAAAATAAAATGGCCACAAGAATTTCCTAACCCTTCTACAGGTTCACCTGAGTAAGTATTTACCACTGTTCATCATTAATTATTTTTACTGAGACACTTCAAAGCTCACTTACACCTATTCTGTTAGGCACTGTATAAATATCATTAAATGGACAGCCCCTGCCATTAAAACAAAACATTACAATCTGCACAGCAACATGCTCGCAGAAAACATTCCTTTAAAACACGTTTACTGCTGCTAGATTATAAGCTTTGTAGGGTAGGAACAACCTTCTCCTTATGTGAATATATGACAGCAGAGTACAGATCTATAGGTGCTACGGGAAAAATAATGTATCAAAAAAAATTAAACAGAAGTGTGAATAACGAAACCAATCATTAAATGATGACGTGGAAGAAATTAAGGCCAACAAAACAGCATACAAATACGCACTGGTGTGGGCAATGCTGTTTACACAAACTGAACTCTATGGAGAAGGGAAGGGTGTGAGAGCAGCACAAGTGAAGTGAAGGGCAGTAGTGGGAGGATTGCTTGCACCACCAGGCAATAACAACAGCATTCCTCCTCCAAGTTAAGAATGCACCAGTGGAGATGGTTCTAAAGGGAGATTCAGCACATGGTCACTTCTACTCAAAGCCAGAGTCAGAAAGCTCGCAGAGAAGCTATGCGCTGAGCAGAGATACAAATTTTTTCATTTTGGGGTCTCCTTTGTAGACAAGGGTACCCACCGCAGTTCTTCGTTTCTACACATGTAAACAGTCACTTATCTGATTCACAGGAATGCAGAAGGCACAATGGTCATATTTGTAAATAATTTTTTTAAGAGAAATGCTTTAAATGTTGAAAAGACAGCATATAATTAGAATGTATAATAGAAGAAAATAAAGCACAAAATATTGTGTCCAAAATGTCCAAACTGAACGCTTAAAATACTAGATTTACAAAAATGAAAAAGAGATACATGGAAAAAACAAATACTGCTCACAACTGTAAGAACGAAATACTGAACCTCAGAGAGGGTGCATAGCGTAGTACTACCACGCACCTTCTCTCCCCTTCACAGGTGTCAATGACATTATACTCCTGCAACACAGAACTAGAAAAATCAATACGATCACTTACAAACCCTGCAAATTCGGGATAGCAGGGGAAGGTAGGCTTCTCTACTTTTTACCCTTCATCTTTTTGCAGCATGGGGAAAAACCCTACTAAAATTACATATATAAATTCTGGTTTCTCTCTCCATCTTTGGACTAACTTCTCCAGCACTAGACTGGTTAAACCCTGCAGATGTGATTGCATCCTCACACTCACTAATCACCACCACAGAATCCTAATCAACAGCCAAAGAACTAACCAGAGTGCTCAGATTGTTAGTACGCAATTGTCAAAGCCACATGTAACTAGTGGTTTCCATTTTTAAGATGGAGATTTAAACTTTCAAATTTCATTTACTTGAGATAAACTTCTATTTTTCTTCAGAAATAAATACTTAAAATTGAAACTACAGTTATTCTAGTCTGTTCTTGTGGAACCATCTACAGTTTCCAACAGATTTTCTATTCTATTGAGGTATTTCAAGTCTGAC